AAAAAAAATGTCAGACCGAAACTTATTTATTGTTTCTAACATTTTAAACATTTTTTAAATATTTTTTTTTCTAAACTTTTTTTTATTTTATATTTTATTTCTTTTTAAATTCCTTTTCAATAAATATTTTTTAACTTTACTGTCAGGGGCTCTGGGGAAATATTGGGGGTCTAAACAGAGAGACACAGAGTCCCCGATCTCATTTTCTGCAGCCCCTGTTATAAATGAACAGGAAGCCTCTATACTGAGTTTTCCTGTTCATTCATAACTTCTGGAGATAGTACGTTTACTATAACCACAATCATAATCACTTCCCATTCATTCATAATTGGGGACACAGTAATTATTTACAGGGAAGGGGTTAATAGAATGCAGCACTCACTCTCCTGGTAGGGAACGGAATAATAATTGCTGGTACTCCATTTCTCCTAGCAGGGTGGGGGTTAATAACCTGCGGTGCCCCATCTCTCCTAGCAGGGAAGGGGTTAATAGCCTGTGGTGCCCCATCTCTCCTGGCAGGGAAGGGGTTAACAGTGCTAGTGCCTTCATTTCTCCTGGCACAAGGGGTTAATAGCAGTGGTACGCAGTCTCTCCTTGCAGGGAAAGGGTTAACAGCCGACGGTACCCCATGTCTCCTGGCAGGGAAGGGGTAAATAGGTGGTGGTAACGCCGGCGAATTATTTAACACTCAGCGATCACTGATCATGCTTGTACCCGCTCTCCACCCTGACACGCTGTCATAGGGGGCTGAAGGAGCAGTGTGAGGAGGAGAGCTCGGTCAATTTTGACAGCTGACTCCTCCCCCGCACCGCTGGCCCAGCCTCCTGTGACAGCTGTCTCCGCCCCCACATCGCTCTCCATCCTGATCAGTCAGAGGAGGCCGAGCAGGGCAGTGCGGGAGGAGAGTTCCGCCTCATGTGGCACGCAGGCTGCTCCCAGCTCTCTCACCTGCCCTGCTCGGCCTCCTCTGACAGTTGTTTTCCTGTGTCACAGGGAGCGCAGAGCAGCGCCCAGCGGAGAGGAGACAAACCAGGCATGCACCACTATTTCGGCTGAAAGATAGAACTTTCGCCTGATCTGATCATCTTCTTCCTTCCACTTGTATTCAGGAGTCCCTCCAGCCGCTGGTGCCGGTCTCTGATCCAGCGCCGACTGCTGTGTCTTCTGTGTCCCACAGAGTCTGTGCGCGTGCATTGACTTACCCTGTGTCTCTCCTCTTCTCCCGGCTGAAGATCCGTACTGCGCATGCGCCCGCCTCATCATGCTGCTCAACCATTCCAGAATCTTCAGACAGGAGCGAGCGGTGGAGACACAGGTAAATAATAACCTAATTGGTAACTTTTGTATTCTTTTGAATGTGTTTGCATATATCTAATGCTTGCTGGGAGAAGGTTTCATTCTTCTTTAATGTCTCTGATCACAATATTGTCTTGGCGGCAATAAGTGGAAGGTGATCCATCCCACTGGGGCCCATCTGAAACTAAAATATCAGCTTTAAAGTAGGTGTAAGCCCTAACTGAGTGGCTTCTTCTATACTAAAGCCCCGTGTATCATAAACACAATGATGTTTTTAATTATAACAATACTGGTTTTTAACCTTTCTTGTATATCCGCACTGCTGATCTCCTGCAGCCTCTTTACAGCCACTGTGTTTCTTGATATTACCAACAGTGGACCAAACCTGTGGAACGAGCATTGCATGGCCTTTGTAGTCTCCATTGGAGGAGCGCGTACCAGGGTGACAATGCAGGAAGGCAAATAGTAGATGGGGACAGAGCGTTGTCACCCCATAACAGGAAGTGCCTGAACAAGGACTTTCATGGCAGGAACACCAGATATTATTGTAAGGAAAGCTGCAGGTTTACAAATAACAAACAGGAAGTGGCAGTAACATGTTCATGTAGAATTCAGAGTTGACATATCTTGTGTGTGAATCTCACATTAAAGTAGTAATACGCTCTCAATCTTTTTCAATAATGAATCCACAGCACAGCAAACAGATGCTCAGTATACATTGGTCACTCTCATTGACCACTCTCATTGACCAATCTCACTCTCAGTATACATTGGTCACTCTCATTGACCACTCTCATTGACCAATCTCACTCTCAGTATACATTGGTCACTCTCATTGACCACTCTCATTGACCAATCTCACTCTCAGTATACATTGGTCACTCTCATTGACCACTCTCATTGACCAATCTCACTCTCAGTATACATTGGTCACTCTCATTGACCACTCTCATTGACCAATCTCACTCTCAGTATACATTGATCAGGAAAGGATTTCTTTACGTTTTTGCACAAGCTCTTACACTCATCATGTTTCCGAGCAGCTCCAACTCTCTCAGCTCAGCTACCCTGTACTTCCTGCCCAGTACAAGATCATAAGGGACAGAGCAGTCTCCATGAGCTGTCCATCTACTGGCATGGAAAAGGGGAGTAGCTTGCCTTGCTGTCCCTGTGTGTTTGTGGAGACAGCTTACTAGAACCCACAAGGGTGACTCCATAGGACCCTGCAAGGGAAAGGAGCCACCCTAAAACAGGAAGTCAGGACCAGTGCTCAGAGGACCAGCTGATTCTGCAGGAAACGATAACTTCTATACATCAAGGAGCAGCATCCATTGTAACTGATTTCCTCAGCATTTGAAACAGCTTAAAACCCTTTTGACTTTAAAGCAGAACTCCAGGACTTTTTGTTAACCCTTCCCATGGGGCTACCCCAGCACTGCAATGGTTAACTGCTCGCTTGTGTCTAGGCTAGAGAAAAACAAAGATATAGTCACCCAAAGCTCTGAGCCGGCTTCTTCTTAGACTGGTCCCTGGAATGTCCCCCCCCCCCTCCTCTGCAGCGGTCTAAGGTCCAGTAAATCATCATGTGAACGTCAACTCCGCTCATCCCAAGACCTCCTGCTTTCCAGCTCCCTTGTCAACTCCTCCCATGCTCGCCTCCAGGACTTCTCTAGAGTCTCTCCCATCCTCTGGAACTCTTTACCCCCAACCTGTCCATCTGTCGCCCACCTTGACTGCGTTTAGGCATTCCTTAAAGACTCATCTCTTCAGAGAAGCCTATTCCACCTCAACCTAACCACTGAACCATCACGTTCTCAAACTATTCCTCTCCACACAGCTACCTCCTCATGTATCCCTTGCCCCTCCCTTTTAGATTGTAAGCCCTCAAGGGCAGGACCCTCCTTACCATCTTGTCTTGAATTGTATTGTGATTGTAATGTCTTCCTTATATTGTAAAGCGCTGCACAAACTGTTGGCGCTATATAAATCCTGTATAATAATAATGTGTATACACCTTGCATAGACGTGAGGACGCTGAGGACCATTCTGATGTGCCGCAGAGAAGGGGACAGGCTGGAAGAAGCACGGCTCAAAGCTTTGGGTGAGTATATCTTTGTTGTTTTCAAACCTAGACACAAACAGGCAGTTAACCCTTGCACGGCTAGCCCTATTGCAAGGATTAATCAAACAAATTCCGGAGTTCTGTTAATGACAAGTAAAGGCCGGATTCACGCCTATGTGTTTTTTCTCCCTGACGTCTTTTCCATTCAAATCAATATCAATAAATCAAAGCACATCAAAAAAAAGTGTATTGTCGCAGGTTTTTACCACCTGCTCAACTGCATATTGCATTGAAGGTTAACGCGCCTCACCACGCATGCCAATACACACCAGTGTGCATCATGATGCATTTCTGTGCTATCGAAAATGCCAACTTGTGTCAAGCTTTATGATGCCTTGTCATTGATTTCAATGGAGAACTCATCAAGCGATAACACAAAGCAGTGAATCCAGCTTAAGAAAGATTCTTTCTTCTTCTGTGTGTTTGAATGACTCGGCCCCGTAACCGTCATCATACACTAATATGTGATTGTTCAGTCATAGAGCCTGGAGATGGACACATGGATGGCAGCAGGCAGCAATACAGAGGTCCTCCAAGGGCATAGGGTGCAATATGACTGAGGCCCGTGACGGCAGGCCGTGTCCTGGCACTGATACATCCAGTGTTATTCTAAGGCCATCGTCAGATGGTACCTGCGTCACTGCTTGGAGGCAGCACAGACACTGACAGACACTGACAGCTCCTCAGACATTGTCACTGTGACTCACAGGACACACTGCACATCATCAACAACACATTTCTTCTGTCTCCTCTCCATGGATTGATGTACGAGATCCCATGTAAAAAGTTGTTGCATGTAACATTTGTGCTGGCGTTTACATGCGTGCCGCGTACATGGAGCCTACTGGCTGCTGCTCAGGGCCAACATGTAAATAGGCAACACCGCCACCGATTACACACTCCCCCTGAATGAGTCATTTGTGCGGCGGCCGCGCATGTGCAGCATGACCTCAGCCGATTCTGAAGGCTGAGGTTGTTCTGCGCATGCGTCACCACCGCACAAATGACCTATACATATCAATAGTGTGGAATCAGCGGCCGTGGCGCTGCTGGCTACGCGTTGTAGATATTTACATGGCCATGTTCGCTGTACGCATGTATACAACATACAATACGTTCACATAAGAACCGTGGGAGCAGACCTATTTTTTTTTTTTTATGTTGCACAACATTTCGCTGCCCAGCTATGTAAACAGACTTCTATCCTGCTGAGATAAAACTATACACATGTGTAGTCAGCAATTGTGAATGAGCCCTAAAGAATGTGCACGTGACTCCAGTCTGATGCAACAATACGACCTCTGATACATGAGGGGAATTTACCAAAACTGAAGCAGTTGTCCATGGCAACCAATCAGCGTCTGTCTTCCATTTTCAAAGCATAGCTGATGAAGCCATATGATGATTGGTTGCCATGGGCAACTGCTCCAGATTGTGTCTGCTCCAGTGTTGATAAATTCCCTTCTTTGTGTACACATTGCACAGATCACCTCTCAGCCCAGACACACACACAGATAACAGATGTCCATCCCTGGTACTCCGACACTGCTGCTAGAGGCGACATGATGGCACAGGGCATTACCTGTACTTGTCATTGCGGCTGTAGTCATCCTCACTGCAGCTTCCTTCCAGCCCAGCCCTGAGCTCCGCACTGTCCGGGTCATCGTCCTCGGCCGCTTCTATGGCCACCCTGATCTGTACCTGTGTGCCCAAATCCCAGGCGCTGCCAGCAGCCTTCTCCCCGGGCACAGCCCCCGAGTCCTGCTCACTGGCTGCTTCCATGCTGAATGAAGGGATGTCCGATGGCCCGGACTGTGACATCCACATCGATGGAGGTGCCCAGGTGACAAATGAGAGCCTGCCAGACCCTCCCGAAGAGCGGGCGCTGGCACTGCCTCGGGCTGCAGCCTGTTCCTGAGATGAGAGCTCCGGTCACCTCCTCCTTCCAGGCAGAGGTCGGGCCTCCTTCTCCGCCTCTACACTGATCTTCTCGGGGACAAGGCGGTCCAGGGAGGCGGCACATCAGCAGCATTCCTCGCATTGCTGTCATCGTGCTGAGGATGTGCTTCCTGCGCCACCTGCTGGACGAATCCGAGAACGTCCCTCATCCATCTATTTGTCCATTCATTCCGTCCATCCGTCCAACATCCCTGCCCAGGAGACATGGGGTACCGCCGGCTATTAACCCCTTCCCTGCCAGGAGACATGGGGGGGTACCGGCAGCTATTAACCCCTTCCCTGCCAGGAGACATGGGGTACCACCGGCTATTAACCTCTTCCTCACCAGGAGACATATGGGGGGGGGTGTACTGCAAGCTATTAACCCCTTCCCTGCCAGGATACATGGGGGGTACAGCAGGCTATTAACCCCTTCCCTGCCGGGAGACCGCCTATTAACCTCTTTCCTGCCAGGAGACATGGGGTAACACCGGCTATTAACCCCTTCCCTGCCAGGAGACATGGGGTAACGCCGGCTATTAACCCCTTCCCTGCCGGGACACATGGGAAGGTTACCACCGCCTATTAACCCCTTCCCTGCCAGGAGACATGGGGTACCGTTGCCTGTTAACCCCTTCCCTGCCAGAAGACATGGGGTACCACCGCCTATTAGCCCCTTCCCTGCCGGGAGGCATGGGGTAACGCCGGCTGTTAACCCCTTCCCTGCCGGGACACATGGGAAGGTTACCACCGCCTATTAACCCTTTCCCTGCCAGGAGACATGGGGTACCGTCACCTGTTAACCCCTTCCCTGCTGGGAGACATGGGGTACCACCGCCTATTAACCTCTTCCCTGCCGGGAAACATGGGGGGTTATCGCAGCCTATTAACCTCTTCCCTGCCAGGAGACATGGGGTAACGCCGGCTATTAACCCCATTCCCTGCCGGGAGACATGGGGTAACGCTGGCTATTAACCCCTTCCCTGCCTAGAGACACGGGGTAACGGCGGCTATTAACCCCTTCCCTGCCGGGCACATGGGAAGGTTACCACCGCCTATCAACCCCTTCCCTGGCAGGAGAGATGGGGCACTGCAGGCCATTAACCCCTTCCCTGCTAGGAGAGATGGTGCACCGCAGGTTATTAACCCCCACCCTGCTAGGAGAAATGGAGTACCAGCAATTATTATTCCGTTCCCTACCAGGAGAGTGAGTGCTGCATTCTATTAACCCCTTCCCTGCAAGGACATAACTGCAAGATATTAATCATTTTACTGCCAGGAGAAAGTAGTGTCAGCTTTTAAACTCTTCCCTGTCAGGCTATTAACTCTTTCCCTTCCAAGCGAGAGAGAGTATATGGAGAGTATCCTTTCGATGCCAAGAGAGTACCGGAAGTTATTAACCCTTTTCCTGCCAGGAAATACAGAGGGAGTACTGTGATCTATTAACCCCTTCCCTGTCAGGAAAGAGTGTGAGAGAGAGTACTACTGGTTATTAACCATTCCCTTGCCAGAAGAGAGGGGGTACTGTTGGCTATTAACGTTTTCCCTGCTAGGAGAGTACTGCTGACTTTTAACCTTTTCCCTGCCAGGAGAGAGGAAGCGTAAGACACTTTTTAACCCATGTCAGTAGAGAGAAAAAGAGAGTATTACTGGCTTTTAACTCTTTCACTGCCAGAAGAGATAGTACTGCAAGCTTTTAACCCTTCCCTTTTCATGAGAAAGAGGGAATACTGCTGGGTTTAACCCTTTTCCTGCAGTATTTTAACAATTCCTGGCCAGAAAAGCAAGAGAGTACTGCTGGATTTAACCCTTACTTTGCCAGGAGAAAGAGAGAGATAGTACTACCGGCATTTAACCCTTCCCCAGCAAAGAATAAATAGTACTGCCAGATCTTAACCCCTTTCCTTGCCAGGGAAGAGAGCCTTTTAACCATTTCCCTGCTAAGATAGAATACTGTCAGCTTTTAACCCGTTCTCTGCAAGAAGAGATAGGAAAAAAAATGCTGACTTATTTCCTGCCAGAAGCGTGAAAAATACTGCCAGCTTTTAACTCTTTCCCTTTTAGGGAAGAGAGAGAGAGAGAGAGAGTGTGTGTGTACTGCTGGCAGCTATTAACCCGTTCCTTGCCAGGAGAGGGAGAGGACTACCGGCTTTTACCTCTTTCCGTGCCAGAAGAGAGAGAGATTACAGTACAGACTATTAACCCCTTCCCCTCCGGGAGAGATAGTATTGCTGCTTATTAAACCTTTCCATGCCAGGAGAGAGAGTACTGTTGGCTTTTAAACTCTTTCCCTACCAGGAGAGAAAGAGTACTACTGGCCTTTAACCCTTTCACTGTCCAGTGAGAGAGTACTGCCAGTTTTTAACCCTTTGGAAATGTCTCCACTCGCGTCACATATTGAACACTTGCAAAAGCTTTGAATAAGCGCCTTGCTTTTAAAAGTGTTTGCATGGTTTTTTTAAACAGATGATCACTCTTAGGTTGGGAAGTTGGAAGGTTGCACTGCATTGCCGCTCTTGAATGGGGCACTTTGCATTTTATTACATGCAGCAACAATTCTGCTTTTGTCTGTACTGTGTTATTTAATAGCATTATCACAGTTGTTTGAGGCAATTTAGTGTTAAAAAAACAAATCCAAACCACCCTGTTTGCTGTCAGTGGAGTCAAGCTCTTTCCCTGTCAGTTCTTCAACAACAGCTTTTAGGTTTGATGGCTAGGCTACTTTTTGTTTCTTTCTGGTGATATAATAAAAAGTCTTATACATTAGTGTTCTTCTAATCCCCATAAAACCATATATTTTCTTGAAGCAGACATCTTCAGGGACATTAGATGCTGCACTTAAAGCTGAACTCCAGGATCATCTCACCTCCCTCAAATATATTAGCCCTCACCATGGCCACTGTTTCCGCACTATTACATTTGAAAATAGTTGCTTCTATTTCCATAAAGTGCCTTTACAAATACACTCCCCCC